TGTGAACGGCCACTTCAGTGGTGGTAGTGACTGTATCTGAGTGAGTGGGCTTCAGGCCCTGCAAGCGTTCCTTCCTGTCTATACCAAATCTCCGAAGGATAAGCTGGCTCTACAAACTCATTTGAGGTGCCTCTCTAGTGGTGATCAAGTTCCACCTTAATGACCCTGATCTCCCTCAGTCTGTTTCCCATGCCTGAATGCCCATCCTCTCTAAATGCTTGAAGTTCAGATGTCCTTATGTCTTTAACTAGAGCTGACTAATGCCTTAGAAAGACCATCACGCTTTTTCATTTTGCACCGACTTGATAAGCAGCCATGTCTAACGGTTTGCTTTTTGCCTGGCTGTGATGTGGCTGGCCTGTCAAGGCTTGATCACAGCAAAGGATATTTCCATCCCAGACATACCTAAGGCAGGCTCGTTGCACTCTCGGTGCTTTCACAACGCGGTTTTGCTTGGAGTCCAGAAGGAATTCTGTTTTAGGGTCTCCATGTTTCAGAATTCCTTTCTAAGGGATTTATACCTGATTTATACCTGCCTCTGGAGATTTCCATTACTTGCATCTGAAGAAGTGAGGTTCTTACCCATGAAAGCTTATGCTCCCAATACTTCTGTTAGTCTTAAAAGGTGCCACAGGACCCTCTGTTGCTTTCTAAGGGAGAAAGTCTAAGCTCTCTGTTTTGTTTCTTCGGAGTTGTCCTGTATCAAGGCTATACAGTTTATTGAATTTTGGTTCTAATTCATTGTGCAGGATGCTACTGTTGTTACTTGTGGTGGTGACGGGCAAATGTCGGATCCCTCCTGTATTTAAAAACCATAATCTCCAAAACACCATTGCTGGTAACACTGTTGGCATTGGCCTTTGGTATGGCGATTCATTTTGTATTGATTTTTATAATAAAACCAAACAATGGAAAGTCCAAAAAGGCAAATGACTTGTAGCTTGTATACGTTCCTGAATACCACACGCTTCATGGGATCTCAAAGAGAATTATGTAGTCTTACAATTTGTCAAAGCTGCAAGACTAGACGCTCCGGTAAAGACATAACACATTTGGGTGGGAGTTACAGTAAGAAAATAGGAAAAGACCTACATAAACATAAATAGGGAAAGGAGAGAAGGAGGAACCAGGGAGGGGTTAAATAGACTGGAACTTGTTTTTCTACCTGTTGAAACATTACTATAACTCTTCACTGAGAGATCTGTCAAGTCGTTCACTCGCCAGTAGTGAGAATCCTAGTAAATGGTAGTTTTAGAGAACAGAAAATTAATAACCTGTAATTTTGCTTCTTTGAGGATTTCATTATATCAGCAAAGAGTCCTGTGGCACCTTATAGACTAACAGACATATAGGAGCATGAGCTTTCATGGGTGAATACCCACAGAAGCTCCTTATACGTCTGTTAGTCTATAAGGTGCCACAGGACTCTTTGCTGCTTTTACAGATCCAGACTAACACGGCGACCCCTCTGATCATTATATCAGGATTCTCACTCACTCACCCACTTTTCCCCAAAGTCTGGAAGTTTATCTTTGTTGAAGCGGAGTTTGGGGGCCTTGTTTTTTTTCATCTCTTCTTAAATCAGATTTTTAATCTTTTGTTTTTTTGATTGGCTGCCTTTTTTTTTTTTTTTTTTTGGCCAATCACGCAGTCAGTAATTGACTGGAGGTTTCCAAGGGCAGCAGTTAAACTGTGTGGAGGCTACATGTCTATCTCTCAGTATGGTGGGCTGGCTTGTATTCCACCTTGCTACTGCTGCTCTTGGAGAACCAAATCTGTCAAGAGGAGTTCCATCCGTCTCGCACTAGAGAAGCGAGACACAGGAGTGGGATTTCAGTCAGGATGATACCTTCAGAGAAGCAAAATCACAGGTCAGTAATTTCCTCTTAATTATTTTGTCAGCATTAAACATTTGACTATATAAACTGTAAATATCATCTAATACATCGGCTCCCAGTTTTAAGTAATAAATCAACTCAAGTTTCCTCTTCTAGAGCTCGACAAACAAAAACTTGTGTTATTTGCAACTATTCAGTTCTGGAATTATCTTTATTAAATCGATACATCTGATCGGACAGCATTTAATACTCTGATTCCTGTTACAATATCGTAGTTTAAAACTTATCAGAAAGTCTATTTTTAATTCATAGGCAGACATGACAGGCCGAGAAAGGAATTAAATTTGCAAGTAGTAATATTGAGACAATCCGTGAGAGAATTTGAGCCTCTGACCCACACAGTGGTTACATGTTAATCCTTATTGTCAGTGTGTTACACTGCTACATTCATTGGGATGTTGTGGTAGTGATTTTAATTTTAAAAAGCTAAGTATTGGAAGAGGAAATGTGGTCGTTGCTGTAGTGTATCCTCCCCCTGTGACTTTTGTTGTCTTTGTTGCTTCCATTAAACTATTTTTGAGTAAGACTCAACTATTATTTTGTGCAATGGAAAGGTAACCGTCTCTTCGAAACTTTTCTTTCCACAGATGAAGATGAGGATGTTGATGGCTTAACACAAGGGTCAGTGAAAGATGCCCAAATTTCAACAGATTCCAGTAAGTAGAATTTTAGTAAGTTGGGAATATTGGCTCAACGCAGCCTTTATTATATTAGCTTAACCTGATTTTCCTTATGAAGAATAGTACTCCTAAAGAAAGCTTCACTTTGGTCAGACAATTATGTTCTAATGGTGATTACAGATCTTGTGTATCCTGTATTGGGTCAGCACATCTTTATGTATATGAAGTGATAATGGTTAGAGCCTTCTGTGAAATCCACTCGAGCATTTTAATGAAAAGAGGTGATGGTATTCATTAGATCATTGCAGTCAACCTTCTCTTGAGGTGTTTTCCACAGGTGAGTATCTCTGGAGTTAATCGCTTTCTGTAAGTAGTATTCTCGGTAAGTCACAGCTAGCCGTCTCTCACAATAACAATTGAGAAATCATGTGTTTGTATTTAACGATCCGGTAATGTTAAGTGATAGATTTGGAGGGCAGGCAGTACATTTCTTTAAAGCAACTAGCCTTTCATCTGTGGCTACTTGGGTTCAAATCTTACCAAGGGCATAAGTAAAATGAAATCTACACTCTGCTCAGGTGAGGCCCAGTAAGAATAAATATAGTGGTGTTTATGTCAGGATTGAAGTCCATTGGCAACTGCGCAATACAGTTTTTCTACCCCTTGACTGCTCTACGTTTGATATTAGCTCTTATTCATCTCATTTTCTTGAATACTGCAGTCAACCACAGTTTATTAAAACAAAATAAAAGGAAGCGGAATAAATGACTAAACCCAGCAAATCATCACATTTTCATGATGTGGTTGCATAAATGGCTCTAGTACGAAAAAGTAGATTGAAGAAAAAGTAAAGAAAGAAAGAGCCTTCCATGTCCCCTTCATGTTCTTTCAAGATCTAAGACTATTGAGGAAATTGCCATGTGACAAGGGCCATTCCAGATCAATACTGACCATAGTTGTGACAATGGGCTCTAATGTGTTAGTATGTCCCCTTCATTTTAAAATAGGGTTTAAACTTCACTTTCTCCTGATGACTGTGAGGAATTTATGACACAACATATACTTCCATATTGTAGGATCAGATTGTGACCAGCTGTGGTTTGTCAAATAAACCTGCACTTTTTCCAGTGGGCGGCTTTTCAAATAGCAACGCGAAATAATCCTTTCTGTGCCAGCACCTGTTTTTACTTCTATATCTTACTGACTGAGGCTGGTATTTCTCCATCAGTGACTGTCAAAGGGAGTCAGATGTCTATCCTGGTATCTCAGATGGCTTGGTCGACACTGCTAGTCCAGTACGCCTTATTTTATACAGACTGACCCAAGAAGATGAAGACACTGCACTCAAAAAGAGATTCTAAACTTCACTTTTCCTTACACACATTTCTCTACAGTGTCAATCAGTAAAACTGGGGAGAACAGGAACACACTGTATATTTTCAAAGACCAATGCAAAGAATCTTTAATCCTGTGGTTTAAATAAAATGGTTGTACTACAATGAATTGCTTCCCCTTATTACATATTAACACAACGTAACTGGCTTTCTTTCATGCCCTGATTTTTGATGATTACTGTGTTGGGAGGAGAGAAATTCTAATGCTTCTATTGAAAACAAAGGCATCGTGTTCAGTGGGAAGTATTGATTAATCATTGGCTTAACACTTTCAAATATTAATGTAACTGATACCAGGTAGTAAGGCTTTACTCCTCCTACAGCTGATCCTGCCCGCTGCTGTATGTAGCCCAAGGGGTCGAGAGAGAGCCACTCATTGACTTTGCTGAAGGGATCTTTACATTTGTTGCATCACTGTTTCAAGTCAAGCTCTTCTTTCAGAGTGCACAGACTTTTACTGTGTAAGGGAACATGATACTAGAACTGTTGGTCACCTTTACAGTTATGGTAGCTAACCTGCTATTTTATCTTCCAAAAAAGATGTAGCTGTTGTTTTTTCTCAGTTCCATACAGGGGCGGCTCCAAGCACCAGCACAGCAAGCGCATGCCTGAGGCGGCAAGCCGCGGGGGGTGGCCTGCCGGTCGCCATGAGCGCGGCAATCAGGCTGCCTTCGGCGGCGTGCCTGCGGGAGGTCCGCCGGTTCTGCGGTTTCGGCAGCAATTCGACGGCGGGTACACCGAAAGCACGGGACCGGTGGACCTCCTGCAGACATACCGCCGAAGGCTGCCTCACTGCTGTGCTTGGGGTGGCAAAATACATAGAGCCACCCCTGGTTTCATATACCTTACAGATACAGGTCTGTAAAAGAAAAAAAAAAAGCAGTGAAAAATAAAATGCAGGATATTTTTTGGGGCGTGAAAGGATAGATGCCTGGCCAACTTTGGTTTGTAAGACATGCTATTTACGTTACAGAAGGAACGAACAAGAACCATAATAAAAAGAATACAAAATAAAGAATGGTTTATAAACAAAGTTACATTAGGATCTTTTGTTCATCCTTTCTCATAATGTGAGAATAAGGGGACATTGAATGAAATTGATAGGGAGAAAAATTAAAACTGATAGAGGCTTTTTAAGACAATGCATTATTAAACTGTGGAACTTATTGTAACAAGATATTATTGAGGCCAAGAACTTATCAGGAGTGATTAGAATATTTTAGATGGGTAGCACAGATATCCCGAGTTACAATAGTAAATATTTTTTTTAAAATGAGTTTGGGAAGAGATCTGAACCCTCAATCTTCAGGACATAAAGTAGGTTCTACGGGCTAGTCTACACAGAAAAGTTATATTGGTAGAAGCTAAAGTGTGAATTTTAACCAATATAATGTAATCCCTGTGCGGTTACTCTTATTCTGTCATGAAAGCCTTTTATTCTGGTGTGAGGCCCTTTTTTCTGTTTAGCTCATGTCTTTTGGGAAGGGGTTTAAGCTAACCTGAAAAGAGTTGTTCCCACCGAGAGTTGTACCCGTTTAACTATACTGGTAAACTGGAGACGGGATACCCGGGATGGCAATTCCTGTGTTCCTACAGACAAAGCACATTGTTCTTAGCTGAGGCCGTGTTTGAAAATGATGCTGAACATAAAGAATCACAGTCCTAGTCTGGCAAACAAACAAACTGTCTTTAATTTCCCATCTAGGGGTATGTCTACACTTACCGGAGGGTCTGGCGGCAGGCAATCGATGTTCTGGGATCGATTTATCGTGTATGGTTTAGACACGATAAATCGATCCCGGATCGATCGCGGAAGTGCTCGCTGTCGACGCCGGTACTCCAGCTCGGCGAGAGGAGTACGCGGCATCGACGGGGGAGCCTCCTTGCCGCGTCTGGACCCGCGGTAAGTTCGGACTAAGGTATTTCGAATTCAGCTACGTTATTAACGTAGCTGAATTTGCGTACCTTAGTCCGAAGTGGGGGGTTAGTGGGGACCAGGCCTTTGCTAATATTCCTTCATAACTGGCGATTTAGAGGGTGGAAATACTGTTTGGATGATATCGTACAGATGTAACAAACCCCCAGAAGAGAGATCTCCATAATTCTCAAAATAAAAATTATTTACGGTGAGCTCTTAGTTCCTGGATCTGTAGGGATCCCGGAACATAAAGACGCAAGACTCTCTGCCTCTGGTGGTGTGCCAGAAATCAAGGCAGGTTGAGGGCTTGTGCAACCTGCATGATCAGGCCCTGATGTTTTTGTTCATTTAAGGCTTCTGTCGGTCACAGTTGGCAATGAGACCGACAGAATGAGACCCCCTGCTCCCCAAACAGGTAAAAGTCTGGTGATTAGTCTCAAGAGGTGTTCATTACAGACCGGGATTTATAGTGCATCGTGTTAAGCACCTGGCCATTTTTCCCGAGGCTACTGACTCTTAAGAGTAACAAACATCTTTTGAAAGCTGCTGTTGTGCGGAGTAGAGCTTCAGCCTGGATGATGGCTTTAGTGCCATGCAAAGCTAAAACCTCCTCCTCCTCTGGCTGGATTGTCGGTGTGTGACTATTGAAAAGGCATATGGCATTCTGAGCATCACACACTATCTTCCTTGACTGACTGATTTTATTTTAGCTTTAGGGTTTTTATGATTTGGTTTAGTGAATTAATAAATTAAGACTGAGTGAAGGTGTGATGGCAATCTATCCGGTTCAGGTTTTTCCTCTGTTTGCAGATTCTCTTCGATCCCCTATGCCAGTCCAGATGCTTAGGTATAATTTGTCCCTGGCAGCAGATGGGGATAGTATGCAAACGTGTTTGGAGGTGTCATCCCCTGTACACGGGGGACTTGCTCGCTGTGTAAGCTCATTTTTGGTATTTCCAGCAGGTGGAGAGATCAGTACTTTTGCTGGCAGATGCAGAGGACTGAAGGGAAAAGAAGGGCTTGTGACCTCAGAAATCCCCCTTGCACTGGGACACTTATACTTTCTAACTGCTTACTGCCTGCTGTGGGACTCAGCGTATCTGACACCCACAGGTTTCCCAGGGAGTAACCAAGAGGACAACACTGGGGTAGCTGCACATCATGAACATAGGCAGCTGTCAAGGAATACTCTCTCCCTCTTCCCTCCCCTCGTTGTGGGGGTGGGGAGGGCTAAATGATCAGGTCCAAAAAACAAGGGGTAAAGTGGGCCTTTGCCCCCATCTGTTGCCCATCAAGACTGCAGCCTGTTTGTCCAGTGGTCCCCAACCACCAGGTCATGGGGTAGGTCATTGTAATGTGAAAGTGGACATGCCCAGATCACTTGGCTCCACACTCTGCTTGGGCAAGTGCTGAATCTGTTGCCAGAGAAACTGAGGTGTTTACTGAGGATCTGCGAGTGGGCACTGCACTTTCCAGAGTGGCAAAGGAGAGACTAGATCTCAAAGGGGAGGTTTCACTCTGCTCCACAGACAAGTCAGGTCTTTTTCGAAGAAGACATTTGAGCTCATTACAGTGCTTCACAGGTAGTCCTGGGCGCAGCTTGTTCCTCTGGGGCACTGCCCAGATGGCTTCAAAGTCTATGATCCGTGTCCCCTGAAGCTAGAGGGGAACAGAGGAAAGCAGATCAGATGCTGCTCTGGCTGGGATCTGCAGTGTTGCTCATGGCAGATGGGTGAAAAAGTTCCATGAGCAGCTGTTAAGGCCCAGGGCGAGCGTGCAGCCCCCCACATGAAAGGCTGGCAGCTCTCACAGCCTTGTGGTCCAAAAATCCCTTAGAGCTGGAGTTTCGGCCTGTCTCATTGGGTGAGACCCAGTAGTGATGAAACGGCCAGTGATATAGTCAGAGAACCAGGATGACCTGGGGAAAGAGGTTGGTTTTTCAAAGGAACAACAGCATAAAATTCACATGATTCTTGTCAGTTTCATAGCTGCCCAGCTGGGTTTTGAATGGCAGCAATGAAACTGACCAGAGTCTTGCTAATTTCTCCTTGCTGCTGCTTGGCACAGCTGAGAGCAGTAGAAGTACAGGTACTGGAGCAGGCAGGGTACAGGGTAAGGAAGACAGCACTGCAGTTGGTTTGCACTCTGTTCATATCTGGAAAATTTTCTTATTTTTCAAAACCTTAAATTCTGCTGATACTGTTGGATTAGGCTCCTGTGCTTGCCAGGGAAAAGCTTCCCACTCGTCATTGATTGATAGATTTTTTTTTTTTCAAGCTGTGCTTAGATTTTTGAAAAGTAAGAAAAGAATAAAAAGGCTCCCCCTGTCCACAAGACTCTCAAATATGAGGAAAGCTGTTTTGGTTTCACCAAGTATGACATATCCTGTCCCCAAAGAAACTCTGTGTTTCTGAATCAGGTTTCATGGTTTCGTAAACAAGTACCTAACCTTGACCTTGCAGTAGCCTCCTGCTTAAAAAACAACAAAACCAAACCAGTTTTGCTCTTTAAATTGGATAGCTCTGAAAGAAGCCATTGATGGAAAAGATAAAATCGGCTTTCAGAAGGTGAAACTACGATTTAGTTGTAAGAAGAGACTTGAGGTCTAAAGACTTGAGAATGGGGGAAAAAAGTTCTGTTGCAAGGAACTATTTGTATGATGCATCAGTCGATAACTCTTATCAGAAATCATCTTATAATTAGTTACATAGTAGAAAGACGAAGCTTTTAGGTTAAACTGTGTGCCAACTTCATTGCACAGTTGATCTTCTTAGCCTTTTCCTTTAACAATGAGAATTGGAGAGGATACTACGTGCAGCATCATCTAATATAAATGACAGATATTTAAATAGATTTTTCCAAAAGAAAATAAGTCAGACAAGTTGTATGCAAATTATTTATATAATGCACCCTTTGTGGTGGGTTTACACACAGATCAGAAGAGAAATATTGTACAAATGACGAGTTGTGGTAATAAGATGCTGACCGAAGAAATGATGTCGTATCTAGATGATTGATTTTAATAACAGCTGCATTGAGCATTAGCCTCAGAACGAAAAGTGTGGGATTCATTTCAGAATGGGGACCTGATGGTCAGTCTAGGGGAAGAGTTGTGTAATTACATACAAATCTTTCTCTTAGAGTACAGTCATTACCACCAAAAAAAAAGGTATGTCCCACTCTAAAAAGTGTAACCAAAAAAAAAGTCCTGTTGAAAGAACTTCTCTGTGCTGACTTGAATCTGGAGAGACATTCTAGTTCTTATTAACTCACAGGGCATTCTGCATACTCCTAGTTAAGTGCTCTTGCATGAGTTCATTCCCAGTAGCTGAAGTGAAGTAAAGCAGACGCAGTCTTTCATCAGATTGTAATACCAGAATCAGTCAACATACCTTTTAAGATGGACTATGCCAAATAAATACATTAAAAAAGGATTTCCATTGATCTGAGGACACTTCCAGTCTTTACCATCTATCATTCTATTCCCCAAGCCAGCTTCTGGAAAAAGAATTCGGGCTCTCTTAATGTTGTCAGTCAATACACACTATGTCTAGATCGTGTGTTTCTTAAACCAATCTTGGGCACTATGAGGTTTCTATAAGGTTGCTGTTTAGATACTCATTTTTAAAGCATTCTTCTAGGAA